CTGAATGGAAATAGGAAATGAGAGGAAGGCTGAGTAAGGCCCTGATGATGCTTTCCAGGGTGAAGGTAGCCTTTGGAAAAGCTCCAGATGCTGAAAACTGAGGAACATCAGGATTAGGGAGGTCAATCAAAAATTTGGCTAGTAACAAATTCTACCAAGGACAGCTCACCCAGAAAGCTTTCTGAATCATTTTCATATAAACTAGACAAGAAAACCATCCATGTGAATATAGTTGCACACAAAGAAGCTGAATCAACAGAAGTCTCCAGAACAACAGGGACCGCAGGGATGGAGATGGAGGCATAGATGGAGACTGACAGGGATGGAGATGTAGACATAGATGGAGACTGACAGGGATGGAGATGTAGACATAGATGGAGACTGACAGGGATTGAGATGGAGGCATAGATGACAGGGATGGAGATGTAGACATAGATGGAGATTGACAGGGATGGAGATGCAGACATAGATGGAGATTGACAGGGATGGAGATGTAGGCATAGATGGAGATTGACAGAGATGGAGATGTAGACATAGATGGAGAGTGACAGGGATGGAGATGCAGACATAGATGGAGAGTGACAGGGATGGAGATGTAGGCATAGATGGAGAGTGACAGGGATGGAGATGTAGACATAGATGGAGAGTGACAGGGATGGAGATGTAGGCATAGATGAAGATTGACAGGGATGGAGATGTAGACATAGATGGCAGAGATGGAGATAGAGGCATAGATGGAGAGTGACAGGGATGGAGATGTAGACATAGATGGAGAGTGACAGGGATGGAGATGTAGGCATAGATGGAGGTTGACAAGGATGGAGATGCAGACATAGATGGAGATTGACAGGGATGGAGATGTAGGCCTAGATGGAGATTGACAGGAAGGACTGCATTGGGACAGCTGCTTTCTGTGGTGACAGGGTCTGGGAAGCCCATGTTAGGCCATCTGCAAACTGGGGAACCATGGAAGGTGACTGTGTGGCTCAGTTCAAGTCCAAAGGCTTGAGAACCAAAGAAACTCTCTATGTGACTGTCAGTCAAACCTGGAGACCTGTAAACCAGAACGCAGTGGTGAAAATTCTGGTGACTGTAGACTGGGATTGTGATGTCTAAGGGCACAAGAGGAAAGGTATCCCAGAAGGAGGTGGGAGACCCCCTTTTAGTGGCATTGTCATTCTATCCAGACTTTAGCTGACTGGATGGCATGTTCCCATGCTGAGTGAGGGCAGAGCTTCTGCACTTGATCTGTTGATTCAAATGTCCATCTTTGTCTCATCCAGAGCTCTTCAGACACACCCAGGAATCTCAGCTCACCAGGCATCTGGGCAGCCCTTGATCAAACTGATGAGATGAATTGCCTTCCCTGTAGAGCAGGGAGGAGGCTGAGTACCTGCTTCCTGTTAGGAATGACACTAGCCTATCAGCAACCCTTGGGGCTCCTCACAGCTTGGAGAGTGCACTGATTTTCCCCTGTGCTGGTTCCTTCTCTTCCCCACAGCGTTCTCTCTATGAGTTGCTCATGGAGCAAAAGAACTAAGAATTAGTCTCTTTCACACCCCCAACTCACCCTCCACAAACAGGGCAGAATACTCTGTGAAGCTGCCATAGCCACTGTGCCTGGGAGGAGAAGCCGTCCCTGTTCCTTGCAGCAGAGAAGCAGCCACCCCCCTGTTCTCTAAGCTATTCAACCCTGGCCCAGTGTCCTGGCCCAGTGCACCAGCAACACTCACACTGCGTTCCAGTTCCTGCTTCTGGATCCAGTTATTTCCCACCTCACAGGAGGCTTCATGGACCTCTGTGGCCTAGCAATGACAAAGGGCCCCATGAATGCTGGAGGAGCCTTGGGATACACCCATCAGCCTCCGGTGTGTGTGGACTAGATCCAGTAGCAGGGGCCCAATGACTGGCTACCATATTTTGCAACTTATACTTCTAACTCAACCTCTACACAGCCTATCTGTGACCTTAAATGTGAACCCATTACAAATCCAAAGCCCACATCTATACTTAACTTACCCCAATCCCATAATTTCTTAATTTGTGTGTACTTTGAAGAAAACCACCACATTTGATTAAATTAACCATGATTCTGCTTGCCAACAGCAATTCACACATTTAAAAAAAAAGGCACTCAATGTTCCACAGTCAACTAATTTTATTCTCACCAAGTTTTCTCTAAAAGGTTACAGCCCATGGACGAGTAGCCCTTTACTCTAACATACTTCATGCTTCATGCCCTATCCAAACCTAGGAGTCCTTGGAAATACCTGGAGAATTCACACATTAGCACAATGTGATGTAATGAATTGTTCATCTAGCACAAAATAAACCCACTGAGTTTTAGAACCACTAAGGTTCTTTTACTTCCTCCTCTTTCTCCTCTTTATGATGCCAGGAATAAACCCAGAGTCCTATAGATGCTAGACAAATGCTCCCCTACTGAGGTAAATCAAACTCACTTCTGACTGGGACACCGGTGAGCCACAAAAGTGACTGGAGAATTGCCTCAAAGCCTTCCTGGAAGTAGGCAGATTATCATCAGTTAACACCTAGCTAAAATGCTTTAAGCTTCAAGACCTTCTGGCTCTCAGCTTCCTCTGCATCAATTTCGGCCTGACCCCATTAGATAGTGTCTGAAAGGCTCTTTGGTGAGGAGGTCTGTAAATGTTCAGTTAGTCCCAGGGCTGGTTGGAGGCCACTTTTGTCTTTGGTCTTTGTTGACAGTCTCTGGGAGCAGTTGAATCCACACCTGCTGAGCTCGGTGATTGGGGTGAGTGTGTCACATCTGAGCATTGAAAGGTTCAGGGTTATTCTCAGACAGACCTGGCTTTCTGGAGTGCATGGTTGAGGGGGCTATGACGGGCTGAAGCCCCTGGGTGGGAAGGTACTCATTTCAGATGGACATAATAGAAAACAGAATAGAGTATGTTTTCTTGCCCTATTGAAGAAGTCAGCTTGCGTCCTTTCGGCGAATTAGAGTTTCACTGGCCCTCGCTGTGGAGAAAGAGCAGCCTGGTACAAAAGCACCACATGTGCTTTGTGACTCTCTCCGCCCCTCCTCAGTATGGGTTGCCATTTCACAGGTGGAGACAGTGAGGGCTGTGTCTGCTTACTCTGAGTATCTGAAAACACCGGGCTCAAGTGTTCTGTTTATTACTGCGTCCCCGTCTCTCACTGTCTATGTCCCCAGAGCCCGGTCTCTCAGTGTTGACTTGCCATCATGCAGCTGCTCTTCAGGTACTGTTTGAAGGAACACATGTGAATCTGAGGAAGGGTCACTAGGTTATGCCTTGGTGCTAGTTCCCAAATTCCTCAGAGCCCTGGGTGTGCTTCACGCCCCTTCCTTTTCTATCTTACACCCACACAGATCTGCAGACCCTCTGTCTCTCATCTGCACCTGATTTTCTGTCAGATTTTAATTGAAAGGACATAGCTTATGCCCTTGTCATGCGTGACTAAACTTTGGGTAGCTCATTTCTTGATGTCCCCAGCAAAGACACCCCCAGCCATGACAGTTCTGAAGTCAGCACAGTCAGGAATCAGAAATCTTAGCCAGGGATCACCAAAGACAAGAGGAATTAGCAAACATCATTTATATCAGATGCATCAATGGGCCCTCACAGAAGACAGATTTGCCCTGGAGCAAAATTCACCTTTTTGGCTGCATTAGGACCCACCAAGAGGGGCTAAGCCTAAAGTTACAGCAAAAGATGGATATGGAGTCTAGTTCTCATTTACGAAATTAATGAGATATTGCCTATTCAAAAAACTCTTCTTGTTTGTGGCTTCAAATTGAAAGACCCCTTATTCCCAGGACAGCGGCTAAGATCACCACACCATAAATGGATAATGACCTCATGCTTAATTCATTACACATGCACTTTGTTAAGTGGCTTAAATAAGTGATAGAGGTGGAAATTTAAATACAGTATACAAGTGGAAAATATTTGAATTTAACTGAGATCAACACGAGGTACTAAATATTGGATAAGAAACTGAAACTTGGCTGGCACTGGATAATTTATTTGGTTTGAGATTTGGGTTTGCAAACTGAATATATAATTCAGCATGCAGTGAACATAAAAATAAATAAACAATCCGATTCTCCAAATGTATGCAGAAGTGGGCCAGGAAGGCCACAGAAGCAACTGCCTATGAGGCAGAATGGGGTGGGCTTCTCCTACATCCCATCTTTATGGAACGATGTTTGCACATTTATTTACTTCTGTTCTTTACTGACTCACTCCAGGATGCTCACTTCCACTAAGTCTTCAGCTCTGCCTATTTACACAGTTGACAAAACTGTGGAGACTCGGTCAGTATGATGCCGGCTCTCTTTCTTTACCATCACTTTTATTTTTGTTACCGTCTTCTCAAAATGTGCAAAATGCAAACACCAAACAAGACCGCACCAACACTTGAGACGAGTGACATTCACAACGATCTTGGTCAGCATCTCACCAGCACAGCATCCATTTGATTGTCCACTGTCAACCAATGAAATGTGGGGGTCTCAGTAACCTCGATAGCCCTCCATATGCCAGCACAGCCTCAGAGCAGGGTGTTCCCAAGTCAGCTGACCCTCCTCAAATGGATGCCCTCCCCCTCTTTAAGACACCTTATCCTAAGTAGCAACGAGACGTCAGAGGAACAAGAACAGTGTTCTCTGGAAATGTTGCCCGAGATTTAGGATCAGCCCTGTCGGGCGTTAGTTGAATGACTGCGAGGTAGTACCTCCAGAGGAGGGAGGAGCAGAGCCTGCTGTGCTCCAAAGCACAAAGGCAGCCATGGCCGGGTGCTTTGTGGGCTGACAGGCTTGGCTTCCCTGACCGACTGCTGGAAAGTCTGAGCATCCTTACACAGAGTGTGATGGTGAATCTGGAGCATCAACTGGATTGAGGAGGGCCAGGGAAAGTAGAGAACCACACCTGGGACGGGGAGGGTGTCGTCCCTGGGAGAGCATCTCCAGACAGGATTGACTAAGCAGTGAGATTTACCTGACTCTGTGAGGCTCCATCCCATAGTCTGGAACCTAGCCGGAAGAAAAAAAAAAAAATAGAATTGTGGTAGTTTGAATGAGAAGATGAGAAGTGCCCTCCACAGTCTCGGTCATTTGTACAGTTGGTCCCCAAATGATAACACTGTGTGGGAGTCTTAGGAGGTGTTTCTCCTAAGTAACGAACCGGTAACTAACAGGAAGATACAGCCCCGGTGTTCTCTTGGTCTGCCCCCTGGCCATGACGTGAGCAGCTTGCCCCACACTCTAGCCACTGGGATGTACTGAACTCTGTGCTAAAAAAGAAGTTCCTTTTCCTTTAAGTTGTTCATGTCAAGTTTTTTGCCACAACAATGCAAAAGTACATAAAACAGGAACCATGGAACTGTCTTCCAGAGAGATGCTCTTTGGAGCTCATGTGTCCAGTGATCAGCTGTTGGTGGACCTGAAAGTATTCCAGTGGGGGTAATGGAGGATGTAGGTTTACCTCTCAGACGAGCTATGAAACTACTTAACATTCTAGTTTTGAATAGGCGGTATATGTTTAATATAGAAAATTCGGCGTGCCAAGTAAATTAATAGCAACCTAACAAAAGAAGAAAAGAAAATCAAAGGTGATCCATAATATAAATGGCTGACAGTCTGGCAAATCTTCTTCCTCAAATTTTCCAGACCTGTGCAGTTTTATTTCCATCTAGATTCATGTAAATTGTACTTGTTTATTCAAAGAGGGACTCTTATTTACACACAGAAAATGACAGTACCGTATGTTTTGCCTTGCTATCTTGTACAGAAATAAATTCCAAGCATCTTTGTGCATCACAAACTCTATCTGTCATCTTAACACCTTCCTGTCCTTCCAGGGCCAGCCACACCCTGATACACTCTACACCTAGCTATTAGTCTAGAGTTACATGGTTTTTTTTTTTTTTTTTTTTTTTTTTTTTTTTTTTTTTTTTTGGTTTTTTGAGACAGGGTTTCTCTGTGTAGCTTTGCGCCTTTCCTGGAACTCACTTGGTAGCCCAGGCTGGCCTCGAACTCACAGAGATCCGCCTGCCTCTGCCTCCCGAGTGCTGGGATTAAAGGCGTGCGCCACCACCGCCCGGCTGAGTTACATGGTTTTTAAAACATATTGCTGCCATGTATTGGAAAGTTGTCCCTTAGAAAAGCCACATGAGTCTGTGTTCTCATCAGCAGTATACAAAGGGGAATCCCTCGGGGCATTGTCATTGTTTCAATTGTCGCCAACCTAATAGTTGGTAGGCTCCACAAATTTGCATTTTGTTTATTAGAAGAGGTTGTACTTCCATGTTTGTTGACCTTTCCACTTCTTAGCTCTTTGTGTTCATGCAGCTCAGGAGTCACATTATTTATCCAGCCACTCCTTCAATTTATTTCATCTACACCTGAGATGGTGGGATCTTCTCTATGTCATCCTTCAAGTCCCTGGCAGCCCCTGGCTGGTGCCATCCCAGCAGATGTTCAATGTGGGTTTGAGAAGACAGGTTGCAGTTATTGCCAGTCTCAGATTGGGTAACTGTAGCTGAACGACCTCATTGAAGAATGTCCCATCACCTCTCTACCTGGCCTGTATGCACCATGTAACTGTGAGGAGACCTAGCAGTGTGGTTAGAAGAAGTCTGTCCTCTGTGTGTCTGTACCTCTCCATGTCCACATGTCCGGCCCTCCAGCACCAGGGGAGGCAGTGTTCTGTCCCATGCTGCATGCTTTCCATGTCTGCAGAATAAACCCCTCTTGGAGGAGCTCACAGGGATCTACAGTGTGCTCTCTGCCCCATGTTGCTCCAGGCAGCCTCTCTCAGATCTGCACATCTAGGTACCTGATGTCAGAAAGCAGGACGGTCCAGCAGAGTTAGTTGTGAGCAGTCCCTCACTCCATTTGCATAGCTAGGAAACCAGGGACATACTAAGGGTCCAAAACATGCCCTTCCCCTCTCCACCCCACATACTTGAACTTTCTTTGTAGCCTCCTTCCAACAAAACTGGTCACCAGGTCTCAGGTCTCCACATCCTCACTTCTTTCTCAATCTTACAATGTCCTCTCCATTCTCCACCCCCCTCATGCTGCCTCACTCTTTCTTTCCTTCCATTCTTTCCTTCTTCCTTCTGTCCCTTTGTTATTGTGAATGATACAGGCATAAGTGTAAGAATGGAGGGAAAACAGAAACATTTTCCTTTACTTTTCAAAATCCCTTTTAGATTACATGAAACACATTTACACTTTCAAAAGACACAGAAACCATGATCTATGTTTCCTCAATGAGCCAAGTCTCACAGATATCCCAAACTCTGCCTCTCCAACACACATCAGATCATACCTGACCCAAATGGGTCCCATTTAAGGCCATCCCATTTCGCAGGAGCTAATGAGAATGGCGTTCTGACAATGGTATCCCACCAGCCTTCCCTTCATGATGGCTATCTGGGCTCTGACCCAAAGAGCTTGGCAAGAGGCCTCTCTTTCAGATGAGTATTGGGCAAGCTGGTAACTGGTGAGGTCCACTGCCTGGCTTTCCCTGCCATCTGGGTCTGTCCACATCTGGTGCCCACAATAGCCTGGAAACAGGTGGACAGAAAGACCCATTTCCAGTGCTTTTGTGTACATGGATGACCCATGTTTCAGTCACATGGCAGAATTGGAAGTATATAGCAATATTCTCAGAGGGATATCTCAGTGAGATATCCAGGGCCAGGAGCTGCCCATTTAGACATGGGCCTTCCCATGTCACACTTCTTCCCCTCAGCTAGGATGATAATGCCAGGCACCCCAGAGGTTTCTGGGAGCCGGCAGCCAGTGATGAGCAGCACCACCCTGTGTTGTGCTGCTCTGTGTCATGGTCAGAACTCCCTGGCTTCACTTCATCCATCTCTGGTGATTCTGAAGGATTTTCTTTCCCACTGATATTTAACTTATTCTGAAATTTCAAATGTCATTAAAGGGCATGTGCTGTTTTAGGGCATGAGTTTAAATTCTTTCCTATGCACCTCCATCTCCATCCTTATTACACACCAACACTGGTCCCCATGGCTTTTATAAGGTCTACAGAGGGTCACTGCTCCAGGATGTGAACAACAGTGTTGTGTGGCACACTGAGGACATCATTTCTGTCCACAGGGATGACTTGCCCCATCCCAGGACCATACCCTGTAGCCTGTGACCCCCCAGAAGCACTGTGTCAATGAAATATTCTCAACACCAGTATCATCAGACCGCTTGACCTCCAGCTGGCCATTCTTTCTGGAAGCCTTATGTCCCGAGGTCTTCTTTTGCCTTCTGCTTGGCTCAGTGCATGCTCAGTGGGGCTTTCTAAAGACCCCCACATCCTGGCAGAAGCCAGCCAGGAGGGTTGGTGCTGAGCCAGCTGACCCAGCCCCTCCTCTTCCTTCTGTATGCTGGATGGGGGTTACAGTGAGAGTCCCTCCCTCCTCAGCTCCATTTGGGGAAGCAGCTGCAGTTGGCCTCAGCGTGAGTGTGGACTGAGAACTGTGAGATGGGGAGAGCCAACTTATGTGCAAACAAGATTGCAGATCTTAAATCACTCTAGGGGGTCTCAGCTGCTCCTCTTTGAGGACTCCCCACTGAGAGCATTTCAGGCTTATACATAGTAGAGTTTTATCCACAATGCTTATTCAAGTTCTAACCATACTTCAGGCATTGGAAGACAATGAATGAAGAAAAACTAGGGGCTGAAGGAGATGGTTCAGGGGATAAAGCATTCACCGTGCAAGCATGAAAATCCAAGTTTGGATCCCCGGAATCCACATAAATGCCAGACAAGTGTGGCTGTCACTTGTAACCTTAGCACTGGGGAAGCAGAGACAGGGGACTCCCTAGGACAAGCTGACTAGCTAGACTATCAGAATTAGGAAACTCAGGTTTGTGTGAGACCCTGCCTCAGTCAGTCAAGATACCTGACATCAGCTTCCAGCTTTCCAATGAACACACACATGCACGTGCACCTGCACTCATATGCCCACACACATGCAAGCATGCATAGATATGTAACATAGAGAGAGAGAGAGACAAACATGCACACACATGCACAGACAGACAGATACACAGAAACACACACACACATACACACACACACACACACACACACACACACACAGTCAGACAGACAGGCAGGCAGACAGACACACATGCACACACATGGACAGACAGGCAGACACACAGACACACACACAGACACACACACACACGCACGCGCACACACACGCACACACGCATGCATGCACACAGAGAGAAATGGTTTACAGAGAACAGGTAAACACTTTTTAAGCTGCAGGGATTAAATTCTAAGTATTACAGGGGAAATTCTGTGAAGAGGTTAAGACAGGGTGAGGGCTGCAGGGTGAGGAGAGCTGCAGCATGAGGGCTGGGGGGAGGAGAGCTGTGTGGTGAGGAGGGCTGTGGTGGGAGGGCTGCCTCTACAGCAGCAACCAGCAACGAAATAGGACTAAGAGGCCCTCTCACACCTGGGCTAATTACACTTGCTTCCCAGGCTAGAACAAGTTGGGGAAAGATCTTTTTGATGAACACTTTATTATATTATTGATGTGATTTGTATTATAATTGTTAGCAAAAGGAGACTGTAAACTTTGAGAGAAAACAGGAGCTTTTCCACTTACAGCTCTTGAATCTACATCATCACAGACAGAAACTGACTCCATGGAACATTGGTAGCTTGGGGGCTGTGATTGTGGCAGTCTGATTTTGCTGTTTTAGCTCATCCAAGAAATATGCTGAGTGGACCTTTGAACACATTATCAATCTCTTGGAACTTATTTGTTGAAAATACTTTTGCCCATAAGCGGAGAATAAGTAGAATTTTTATGATGCTATGTTAACTGTTGGCACCGTGGACCTTAGCATGCAAAGGACAACATGAATGAGCAGGGTATGAGAAACCTATCCTGGAACTACTTAGACGCCCACAATCCTACCCATCTGGAATCTAGTACCAAGGAATTGCCAAGATACAGATTTCTTTTTTTTCTGGGAGACTATATTGA